CAGAGCCATTGTACTCATTGGTTTCAGGAATAGGAACAGATTCCATACACTTTTTGACAAATATCCAACAATATAACAACTGCTTTCAAATGACTTCATTTGGGTCAAAAAATGTAGTTCGGGAAAATGTTAAGTTGTTGACATGTATGTTAAAATTGAAACGGAGAGATTAACATTCATCAGGTTGAATCAGACCAAACTCCGATCTGAAGAGTATATTCACCTTAGTACTGATGGAAATGCACAAAATGTTGGTCGGATGACTATTCTTCCAGCAACATACATCGGAAGCCCTCGACATATGCACGAATATGCTCAAGATGCCATGTCGTATATTCGTCATTATGGTACAGCAGATTTGTTCATCACATTTACATGCAATCCACACTGGATAGAAATCAAGCAGGAATTATTCCCTGGGCAATCACCCATTGATCGTCATGACTCATGACATTACAGCCAGAGTCTTTAGACAAAAGTTGAAATCATTAATGGATTTCATCGTAAAACATTATGTGTTTGGTGAGACACGCTGCTGGATGTATTCTGTGGAGTGGCAGAAACGAGGATTACCACATTTACACATTTTGATTTGGTTGGTTGAAAAGATAAGGCCAAATGAAGTTGATGCAGTGATATCAGCTGAAATCGCTAATTTACAAGTAGATCCTAGATTGCACGAGGTAGTTATCAAAAACATGATACATGGTCCCTGTGTAACCCTTAATCAAAATTTACCGTGTATGATGGATGGTAAATGTTCAAAACGATATCAACGGACATAAATATTAGAAACAATTACTGATAATGATGGTTATCCACTGTATCGTCGCCGATCGACAGCAGACAATGGAAGATCAACAATTGTCAAATTAAATCAACAAGATATTGAAATAGATAATCGTTGGATTGTTCCCTATTCACTCATTTTATCAAAGACCTTCAAAGCACACATCAACGTCGAATCTTGCCATTCAGTGAAATCTATTAAATACATTTGCAAATATGTAACCAAAGGGAGTGATATGGCTGTGATTGGAATCGGTGCAGAGAATTCCAATGATGAAGTTACCCAATACGGCCAATACCTAAAATGTTAGTAGTAATGAAGCAGTTTGGCGAATATTTTCTTTTCCTATTCATGAGAGACACCCTTCTGTTGTTCACTTAGCTGTGCATTTATAAAATGGACAAAGAGTGTATTTTATAGCACAGAACGCAGTACAAAGAGCTGCTCAGCCACCTTCTACTACATTAACCAGTTTCTTTGAGACGTGCCAAAACGATGGTTTTGCACAAACATTGCTATATTCTGAAATGCCAAAATATTATACTTGGAATCAATCCTCAAGGAAATTTATACGACGGAAACAAGGAAAACCAGTTCCAGAATACCCAGATGTATATTCCACCGATGCGATTGGTCGAATTAATTCAGTACATCCAAGCAATGATGAATGTTTTTATTTACGACTGCTATCAGTCAATGTACGTGACCCAATATCATTCCAAAATTTACGAACTGTTGATGGTGAATTTTATGGATCCTATAGAGAAGCCTGTCAACGTTTGCAATTGCTAGAAAATTACGATCATTGGGATCAAACTCTCAATGATGCTGTAATATCATCACATGCTCACCAAATACGAACATTATTTTCTATAATCATATGTAYATGCTTCCCATCAAACCCAATCAATTTGTGGATCAAGTACAAAGATTAAATATGTGATGATATKTTTTATCAAATACAGAATAGAATGGGAATTCCAAATATACACATCAGTGAAGAAATTTACAACGAAGTATTGATTTCAATTGAGGACATGTGCTTGATGATGTCAAACAAACTATTAATTCAATTAGGCCTGACCGCGTTCAATCGTYCAATGCATGATGCTTTTAAACAAGAGGTGCACCGAGAAAAACTGTATGATCTCAACACTTTGGAAAGAATTAATTCAAACTAATCTTCCACTATTGAATGAACAACAGAAGTATRCATTTGATACTCTTATGAAAGTAACAAATGATAAAACTGGAGGGATATCGTACTTCTTAGATGCACCTGGTGGTACAGGAAAAACTTTTTTTGATTTCATTAATATTAGCAACAATTCGCTTACAAAATAAAATTGCATTTGCACTCGCTTCGTCGGGAATCGCAGCAACTTTGCTTGAAGGTGGTCGAACAGCCCATTCAGCACTAAAATTGCCATTAAATATGCAAAGCAATGAAACTCCAACCTGTAACATTTCGAAGAACTCTGCAATGGCAAAGGTTTTGCAGCAATGTCAATTGATTGTTTGGGATGAATGCACGATGGCTCATAATAAATCGTTGGAGGCTTTAGACAGAACTTTAAAAGATCTACGGAGCAATTATAACCGTGGTGGTGCAATGATTTTATTAGCAGGAAAAGGTCAAACATTGCCAGTGATTCCACGATCAACGCCAGCTGATGAACTCAATGCATGTCTAAAGTCCTTCAATTTGTGGAAACATGTCAAAGTACTTCATTTAAGCAAGGATATGCGTGTCGAGTTACAAAATGACCAACCTGGAAACACATTCTCTAAACAACTCATTRACATTGGTAATGGCAAATTTCCTATRGACATGTTGACTGACTGCAYTAACTTTCCTCGAAGTTTTTGTCAGTTAACTCGATCAAAAGATGAACTTATTCAGAAGGTGTTTCCAGATGTTGCTTGAGATTACAGAAWCCCTGATTGGTTGAGCGAACGAGCTATATTGGCTGCTAAAAAYATAGATGTAAATGAATTAAATTTCAAAATTCAAGAACAAATTACAGGTAAATCGAGGATATATAAATCAATTGATTCGGCAAATAACCAAGATGATATAGTCAACTATCCACCGGAATTTTTAAACTCGGTGGATTCACCAGGATTGCTACCTCACAATCTTCAATTAATCAAGTTATAATGCTACGAAATATCTACCCACCGCGTCTTTGCAACGGCACACGGTTAGTGATAAAAAAATTACTAAACAACGTGATAGAAGCAACTATACTGAAAGGAAAGTATAAAGGAGAAGATGTTCTCATACCGTGCATCCCAATGATTCCGACTGATGTGCCATTTGAGTTTAAACGACTACAGTTTCCAGTGTGGCTTGCTTTARCTATGACCATAAACAAGTCTCAGGGGCTAATCATTAAATGTTTGTGGTATTAATCTGGAAAACCCATGTTTCTCACATGGTCAATTGTATTTTGCCTGTTCCCGTGTTGAGAAACCATCAGATTTGTTTGTCTATGCGCCAGGTAATCAAACAAAATACATCGTATATCACAAAGCATTACAATGAAAATAAAACTGATTTTTTTGTTTGTTAATAATTATGATTGACATGATTAACAATAATGCGACTACTTACTTTTAAATGCTTGTATATGTGTTATTTAATTATTTTTAATTCACACCACCCTATCAYCAGGGTGACGGTTCTGTTCAGGAGAATTTTTTTTTTTTRCCCCGACAGGACGAATACGGTGATGGGGAGGTGATACAAATTAAATTAAATAACAAATAATAAATAAAATTGAATAAAGTTTGAGTCATATGGAGATGGTACATTTAACGGGCGGGGGGCATGGTAAGCGGCGCCCCCTGCATAGYGATATTTCTAAACCAGAATTTATCGCTAACCAATCTTACCAACCCCGGACGGATCTCAATGTCAACCAAAACGCCAAAACGGTCCTTTTCAGGACCARCCCTCATAACGACTTCAATAAATATCGAAGGATTCTCAAACAATAAAAGCGRCATCTTACAAGAACTATGCCAAAAAAATACATGCGACGTTATATGCGTCCAAGAAACACACCGAGACWAGGACAACATCCGTCCGAAGATAAAGGGAATGAAGTTGGCAATAGAGAGACCACATAAGAAATAAGGCAGTACGATATTTGTAAGAGATAATCTAAAGATCCTCTCAACAAGTCATACAGAAACMAACGACATAGAAATCCTCACAGTAGAACTTACAAACTGCACTGTCACATCAATATACAAACCGCCTAATATCCTATTTAATTTTACAAAGCCAACAAATTTTGAAAACCAAAGAACAAAAATTATTATTGGCAATTTCAACAGTCACAACAGCGCCTGGGGCTATAACGAAACAAACGAAGGTGGAGAAGAAGTAGAGAAATGGACAGAGGCAAATGACCTAACATTAGTACACGATACAAAGCTTCCATCGTCGTTTAATAGCGGCAGATGGATAAGAGGGTATAACCCAGACATAATCTTTGTAGCAGCAATATCAAACAACAATGCAAAAAGAAAGTCGAAGCACCAATACCAAAYTCCCAGCACAGACCAATAACTTGTCAAATAAAGGCTATTATACACCCAGAAAACGTACCGATGATAAGACGCTATAATTTCAAAAAAGCCAACTGGGACAACTTTAAAACACAACTGGACACTGAAATCAACAAAATCACTCCAATACCTGAAAATTATGGCCAATTCTYAAACTTAGTAAAGAACATATCAAAACAAAATATACCAAGGGGTTGCAGAACACAGTATATCCCGGGAATGGGGAATGAAAACAAAGAACTACTTGAAAACTATATCAACCAATTTAACAATGATCCTTTTGCTGAAAAAACAATTATAACCGCGGAGAATCCTTAGTGGAAAAACTGTCAGAAGCACGACGATAAAAATGGAGATCACTAATAAGCGAAACAAACATGACTCAAAATAGCTCAAAAGCATGGAGAATGCTGAGAAACCTGGGAAATGACCCAAAAAACGCAGAATCGCATATAAACGTCACACCAAATGAAATTGCTCACCAACTCCTAAAAAATGGAAAATGCCCTGGCATTAAGAAAGTGAAGCCAAAAATAGGCAGAGAACCAACAAACGAAAACAATCTACTACACACTCCATTCACGTTATGTGRCAATGGCACGGATGAAAGAAAAAAAAGCACCAGGTCTATCAGAACCGAGGAGATTAAGAACTTTGGACAACAAACCAAAAGATGGCTATTAGAATTGTACAACAACTGCATAAAATGCGTAAAGATACCAATAATATGGAGAAAAAGCCGAATAATAGCACTAATAAAACCGGGTAAGCAACCCAYGGAGGCGAAAAATGTTCGCCCAATCTCCCTCTTATGCCATACATACAAGTTGCTAGAAAGATTAATACTTAACAGAATAAACGACATAGTGGACAAATCACTTATAAACGAACAAGCTGGTTTCAGAGGAGGAAAGTCATGCACTGGACAGATACTGAACCTGACGCAAAATATTGAAAATGGATACGAGAAAAAACTGGTGACTGGCGCAGTTTTCATAGACCTAACAGCGGCATATGACACGATTAACCACAGAATTCTTTTCAAAAAATTGTACGAGATAACAAGGGACTACAATTTAACGTCCTTCATCGCTGAAATATTAAGAAATAGAAGGCACTTCCTGGAGTTGCAAGGAAAGAAAAGCCGTTGGAGGACTCAAAAAAATGTACTTGCACAAGGTAGCGTATTAGCACCTTTGCTATTTAACATAATGCCAACGCCATTAGGAACCCAGCGTWTCATATACGCTGATGATCTAGCGCTCACTGCTCAGAATCACTCGTTTGGAAATATAGAAAGCACTCTAAACAACGCATTAGAGGAAATGCCAATTTATTACAAAAAAAATTGGTTAAAACCAAACCCCAACAAAACCCAAGTATGCACTTTTCGTCTAAGAAACAAAGAAGCAAAACG